CCGGGCGGCACTCTTGGGCCACTATTTGGACTTCGATTGGGCTTCAATTCTTTGGGCCAATCTGGATTTCCTCTTCGGGTCTTGAATACTCGGTCCAAATGCCCCGGTATCACATATACCGAGCCCTTAATCACTGGTTCGATGGCTCTAACCGACCCTGGGCTATAAAAACTGGTCGTGCTTCTCCAATGCTCGTAGTTGCTCCATAATATCTCGGGAAAATGCTCCAAAAGTGCAAATCCCTACAAAAGTCAACCAAATCTACGAAAACACTAGAAAACACCAATTAGTAATAAAAGTGGCTCTAAAGAGCCAAAAACACTACTAATTATGACCAAGGGACGGGGGTAAAATACTATATAAATTGGACATATCATTTACATTTTTATTTTATAATGAAAGTTAGATGGGATCCTAGACTAACTTTGTGAGAATGGATCACGGCCATTCTTGCATTGCGCTAAACTTTTATTTTAAATGGTCATTTGGGACCAAAATGATTTGGTGGATTGGACAACCTCGTCTATTGCTTACTCCAAACTAAATTAATTAAATTAAATATAAAGAGTCAAGTGTTTGGAATTTGTTAGTAAGTATGTTGAGTCAATTAAATTGTTGAAGTGTAGAGTCTTGATCAATGAATTCGTGTTGTATGTTTATTTACTTTAATTAGTTGGGAATGCTAGGTTTTGTGTGTTGCAGCTTGTATGTACTCAGCTTTGCTGATTGCGTGTTTTTGTGTGTTTTCTTTTGGTCATGGCCTTCGCCTTTCAATGACCCTGTGATGATCTAGTTATTACACTTGTATTATTGGGGAGCAGTATTGCACGGGTTAGCTTGATGATGTGAAGTTCGGGGATTTGACATACGCATTGTCAAGGGATTGGTGTGATTGAGAGTATTCGATTCTTGTGTTGAACTCATTTATGCTTTGCTATTCATTTATGTTTTGGATTTTGATTGTTGGTTTGGTTTTATATATATAAGGGCCTTATATGGTTCCAATTTGTAAACTTTGACTTATTGGTTTTCTAAACTATGTTATTTTAAAGACTTATGTTTGGTTTTCCGTAGCAATACTTTGATAAAGTCTTAACATTTTAACACGTGGTGGTAACATGCCAATAGTTCTCCTCGATCTATGTTTATTTAAAGAAAGTGGTTTGGAAAATGAAGAATTATTGGGGTGTTACATTTTTACTCTCTTTAGGATTTTGATTATTATTTTCGTTAATATTTGGTTTGTTTTTCTTTTTCTTTTTTTTTTTTTTTTTTTTTTTGTTTACAGAGCCTTGATTCTTTAATTTCAAGAGTTTCAGATCCAAATTCAAGGTTTGTGTATCACCCTAGCATAGATGGACAAACTGACAGAACCATTTAAACCTTGAAAGATATGTTGAGAGCTTGTGTTATAGATTTCCAAGGGGATGACCTGGGAAGATAGCTTGGACTTGATTGAATTTTCCTATAAGAAAGTGTCGTAGTCCAATTTGCTGGAATGACATAAGTGAAACAATGATCTTATGACTCAAATGATTGAGGATACAGTAAAGCGACCGTCAAAAGAGCTACGCAGATTTGAAGTGTAGAGAATAAGAATTTGAGGTTGGTGACAAAGTATTATTGAAAGTGTCACCAATGAAAGGGGTGATGAGGTTTGGAAAGAAATGAAAGCTTAGTCCAAAGTATATTGGCTCATATGAAATACTGCAAAGGATAGACAAAGTAGCTTATAGGTTGGCTTTACCTATGGAGCTAAGTAAAGTGCATGATGTATTTTATGTATCTTAATTGAGAAGGTATATCCCTGATAAATCTCATGTGCTACAACCTAAAACCATTGAGTTAGATCAAAGCTTAACTTATGAGGAAAGACTGTCAAGGAGTTAGGTGTGTAGTACACACAATAAGAATGTTAAGATTGTAAAAGTGTTATGGTCTAACCAAAAGTATGAGGAAGAAACTTAGGAAGCTGAGGATGAGATGAAAAAGAAATATCTCGAGTTATTTCAGGTATGTTGAGTTATGGGGACGTAACTCGTTTTCTTTAAGGGGGGTAGAATGCGGTAGAATTTCGTGATTTTTGCACAATCTAAACGAATATTTTTAGTAATGGTGATCTCAAAGAGACACTAAAAGGTAAAAGTATGACAAAAAGTACAACAATATTATATGAAATGAGGAAAAAGTTTGAATTTCGTTACCCAAGTTTCGGGACGAAACTTCTTTTAAGTGGGTAGACTGTAATACCCCGTATTTTTATACGTCTTTTAATTTAAATAAGTATTTTTTTAAGTATTTAAATAATTCAAAATGATTTATTTATGGTAATTTACTTATTTAATAATTTTGGAAATACTTTATTTTATAAATTTAAAATATATTTTGGGGCATGTTATTTTATAAAAGGAAGTTTTTAAAATTCAAAGTCGAAAATTAAGTTGAATAGGAAAGAGATTAGTAAGGATGGAAAGGAAATTAAAGAGTAGGAGGGTTTCTAGAGAAAATGGGTATAAATATTCAACACATGGGCAAATTAAACTTTGGCTAGAGTGGAGAATACCCAAGGTAATTTTCTTTCTTCCCTTCTATCTTATTTTTCTTTCTTCTTTATTTCCCCTTCCCCTTTATTTGTAGCACCACCGTCGGCCACCACCACACCACCGACAGGCCGCCGCACCACCAGCATGCATCGGCGAAAGCAACGACACCACCAGCAGCGCGGCAGCAACCGACTGTGGTGTCAGGGCTGTTGTCCGGCGGACACACTTCAAAAAAAAATATTTCCTTTGTTTAATCCTTAATCTAATTATGATTTATGGGTTTTGTGATGATTTTATGATGTTTGATTATAAGTATTATGCAAATTAATTCTCAAATTTGTTTTTGAATTAATAAGCCCTAAATTGAAAACTAGGTTTCTAAATTATTGTATAATGATGGAATTTGATTATGGGTGGTTTAAAATTTTGATTTAGGTGTTTTAACCATATTTACAGTAAGTTTTAATAATTTAATAAAGCTGGAAATTTATTAATTAGTAAGCTATAATTGAGTTTCTTAAAGGAATTATTGATTATCCATTAATTGGGATTAAAGTAAGGGGTTTTAAATTAATTTTCAGCTCGTTTTAAATAATTTATAAGTGATCTAAGGAGTGTATATATTGTTGGAAATTTGTGTGGAGTAGATATTAATACCTCTTTATGATTTTGGATTGTAGGAGATTTCCAAGTGAGTGATTTCGTATAGTCGTGGCGATTTTAAGATCGTATTCAAGGTACATACGTTCGCGTATATTTGGTGATGTAGGAACATGCTAGGCTTGATTAATTAATGCCAAGTAGTGTCATGCAAGATTATGATTGGAATTTGTGAGTTGGTTGATTTTGGTGAAGAAAATTATTATTGGCATGATAGACAACATGTTTAATTAAACTACATGTTTAATTAATTGAGTTTGGAACATTGAAAAGGAATGTTATTATGGTTCATATAATTTTTATTGATGTTATAGGCATGAGGAAAGTGCTATTTAAGTGTCTTTGTACACAAGGCATAAATTGTATTTTTGGTGCCTTAGTGCACTTAGGTGTTTCTAACACCGAGAGATAGGAATTGTGGCGCATTATGCGTTTAAGGTGTTTGACACCGAGAAAGTTTAAAAAGGACTCAACATTAAATATTATGTGATCATAAGTTATTCAAGAATTAAATTGGCATGTTTAATTGTTTGAATAATTATAATGGTTAATTGTGTTATGGTTTGAGTATGTAAATAAAGTAAAGTGAAGAGATTATGACCAAAACTCTTGGAACGTATATACCTTGAGTATGAACATATGGGGGGAGTTATGGGGTTTTATATTTAACCATAACTTCTACTGGGAGTACATGACGTTTTATATTTGGAGAGTCGTGTTATATGTTGTATGCTTATAATAAATAGGTGCAACAAGGTAAGTTGTGTGATGATAGAATGAAAGTATGTTATTAGTGTGTTTTATATACGTTTATGTACTTAGCATTGCTGATTGTTTGTTTGTATGTTTGTTTGGCCTTATCTTTACTTTGGTCCCATGATGACCCATTTCTAATGGAGAGTAGTGGAGACAAGTAGAGAGAAGCTTTTCAGGTGATGAAACATATTCATGATGGGCGTGAGAGAAGAGCAAATCATGCTTAGTTTTCATAAGTTTATGATGTGGTTATTGCTTTAATTATTCTATTATTATGCTGTGAGAATAACGCAAAGGTTTTATGTTTTTTGGTTTTAATAAGGGCCTACAATGGTTCCAAGTTATAGGTTGACTTTGGTTTGACTTTACTTTCATTTTGTTGACTTTTTTTAATGACTTGTTTTGAATGTTTTTAATGATAGTCTTCTGCTGTGTGTCTTTGATATTTGCCTTAACCGTTTTCACGGTGGTTGTAATGTCTTAGATTTTCCTATTTTGAGTTTTAAAAAAAGTAAAACAAGTATTTTAAAGGAAAGAAATTTATAGGGTGTTACATCACTCATTACCCCATATGTCACATGTCACCTCCCTTAATATTTATGTTTAAGTCTTTATGCATTGTACAACTTGCAAATTCACTTGCAAATTCAAGTAAGAAAATGAAGTGTTTCATTTCCACCATAATAAAATAAAGTTCAATTAATTAGTACACATTACATTAAACATATGAATTATAATAAAAATTGTCTTTTCATCTCATAGACTTTAAATATAATATACACTAATATGTCATTTCATATTCCACAATATATCTTCATGTACTAGTATGTTTCATGCCAACTCATGAATGAAAACTTGCCTAATGTTCTTGTTTTTTTATAGTAGTATTTAATTTGGATGTCAACCTAATGTTCTGATTTTTTTTTATATTTAATTTGGATGTCAACCAAATAAAAAAAGAAAACCAGATACCGTATGTATGAATTCTGTCGATCATAGGAAAAATTGCATAACTACATACAGCTTAAATTACTTCAATCACTTAATACTAATTTGTTCCTTATAATTAAAACAGAACAAGGACGTATATATCTTATGTGTTCGACCAACAAATTAGACAATATGTACTGTATAGCACCCAACTGCTAAGTGCTAACAATAAGCTCAACTAGTATAGATGATAGATCAGTTACTAGTTGCATATAGATAGTTATACATAGGAAGTCCTGAGCATTCTAATACAATTGACAGAAACCAGTATTATTTAAGTAGTAACATACCAGAATCAATTGATTGAAGGCTAGTACGTTACTCAGATCATCGCATATTTGTGGGTCCATTCCCTGGCAATCTTGTTATAACGCTTCCTGTGATTCCAGTAGAGATCACACACTGAATTGCAAGAGTCTTTTTTATGATTTGGGTCTGGAAGAAAAGAGCATATTGACAGCAACAATTTCTCGATTGTCAGAGCTGGCGTCCATCTATTACTCAGTATGTCTACATGGATTGTTCCATCACTTCCTACATTCGGGTGGAATACCTACACAATTTATATTAACCCCGCTTCATTCTTGATGATTCTTCTAGCTACATACTAAGCTCAGGTATACATAACAAGCAGTTAATTACGAGCCAAGCTAGGAGTACGTACATGAACTAAATTTCTACAAATGATAAATGATAAAGATGAAGTTTAAAGCAACTTATCCTAAAAAGAGAATAGCAAAAATAAAGACTACATTATTACCTTAGTTCGGAACTTAATTTTGGGAGGTTTGAAGGGATAATCATGTGGAATACGGATAGTGAGGAAGAAGATGCCGCCATCAAATGGAGTATCAGAAGGGCCAACGATGATAGCTTGGAGACGGAAAGGATCATGAATATCAACTGGACCATAGCAGCAATGACTCACATTCTCATCAGTAGATGATTTGCATAACTCATTAAGCATCCTTTGCTTAGCCATGGATACCTTACCGTACTTTGTCCTTGACACCAAGGACTTGGAAGATGAGAGAAATTGAGTTAGAAATGTCATCCCACCAATTGATATTGATTTCATGTCATGCATGCAATGCAAAATGACAACAATAATAATAATGTCAATCAAATATATGTGAAGGTGAGTGAGTTTATAATGTTAGATTGCTTTCAGGTTTACAGCAGACAAAGTTGTGGAGTCAGGGAGGGACCGCACTAATTTCAAAACAACTTTGCACTTCTTTGGACGCAACTCCTAATTTAAAGTGGGAACACAAGCAACTCTCTTGCCACCTAAACTTACCTTCATTCCCTAGCTTCTGTTTAAAGCTCCTTATCGGTTTTACTTATGTTAGTAAGCTATTTTTCCCAGGAAAACAGAGATTCATCCTTAGAACAACAAACGATTGGCCACTCAAATCAATTTGCAGATCATTCTTAAATTTTGAGTGTAATGTTTTACAATCGGTTTTAGGAGTTGATGATGAAATTTTCCACCAAAAGGAGTAGGGTATACTTGCTATACTACCTCGGATTACTTTTATATTCAACTTTGGAGTATTATTTTTGAGATATAAAATATTCCAAAGTTGCTTATAAAAGTAATCGAAGGTAATATATAATTTGTCATCTTCACTTGTCCTACTAAACAAGCTACGTAGTTTACCTAAAACTCTATATAGTCCATAATCCATAATACTTGTTTCATACAACCGACCCTTTCCGCTTCAAGTAAAACTTTAAGTTTTAGAGAATAATTAGCTCAATGAATGTCAGCATTCATCATTCGTTACAATAACTTTACTTTGATTTTCAATCAGTTAATACAATCTTTGTCCTGTATCGGCTGTATGTAGAACCAAAGGACAATAGGCTTGTAACAGGTTTGTGAAAAAAAAAAAAAAAAAAAAAACACTCTTAACTTGGAAAATTCATGATTTTTTGACTGATTAGCATGTACTCCAATCTTCTAAGCATAAAATAAAGCAGCAAAGGAAAAATGTTAAACTGGACTACAGGCTAAGACGTGTAATCAGTTCCTATGTGTAACCTTTCACTGCAAACTGCCTTCTTGAGATGCTTAATAGCCTAAATAAGCAAGATCAGTCTCACATTGATGTGCATCCCAATATTTGAGCATAAAGAATTTACAAATATCAGCACAAAGGGGGGAACCTGGAAGTTGGCCTTAACTATGTCACAGCAGGAGCAATAATGGAATTCTCTTGTTCAGCATTAGGTGATGATTCTTTCTTCGTCTCCCTATGAAATTGACTACCAGCACTCAAGCTCCCTTCACTTTCTTCACAACCTGCTTTCTCCTCTGCCTTAACTACTTGAAACTCCCCTGCTGTTGCTGTTTCTGTTTCAGAAGTACCTGCATTGCCTGATTCAACAGTAGTACCACCTACTACTGGAATAGTTTCTGCATCAGAATAATCCTCATCCTCCTTCTCCATGATCTTGTCGTTGTCATCATCATCATCACCTTCATTTTCATCTTCATCTTCTTCTTCTACTGATTCTTCCTCCTCCTCTTCTTCTTCATCAGTCTCACTCTTGCTAGAATCACTTTCTTTATCAGGTGATCCTTGGGTATCTCTTTCTGTCCCATCTTTCACATCCACTTCTTCCATCTCCAAACCCAAATCAGGAAACCGCTGCTGTATTGGTATTGTACCACTTATCACCTGGTTTGTTCTTAGTCTCTCTTTATAATCTTCCATTTCTGTCCTGTATCTCTCTTTGTCCTTAATTGCTTTTTCTTGATACACCTGAGACACAATAATTCACCTGGTAAGAATATGGTTAAAACTTAAAAAATAATCTTTCACATGATACTAATGAACCAAAAAAAAAAAAAAATCATTCAAATTTGCAATTCTTACAGCCTTTTCACTGTCCTTTAATTTGTTCCAGAGTTCACCAATCATCCTACTAATCTCCCGGTCCTTGCCTGGGTGAAGTGGCTTCAATCTGGCATGTTGCTCAGCAAAGAAGAAGTTGTAACCACTTCTATTGGGCTTAGGGTGAGTAGGATCTCTCTTCCTTATCTCAGACTTCTTCCTCCTCCTCCTCCTACGAGGAACACCTGATGTTGCAGGAATGTTATCAGTTTTGCCAGTTGGGATACAAGATGTTTGTGGCGCTTGATTAACTTTAGCTGGTGGAGTCTGGTAGAGAACTCCTTTTAGTTTATCCTTCCCAATTGTGACAGTAACTAGATACCCACTTTCAAACTTTCCATCTATCACTCCAATGATAGGATACCCCCCAGATGGTGCTGCTGATGAAAGAAAAATGAATGTTTAAATACTGCAATACATCATACCAGAACAAAATTGGAAAACCTTTAAAGTTTGCTAACAATAGGATGGGATTCTTGGCTAGTGAACATGTAACCTTCATATTTCTAATACAAAGCACACACCTATCTGTATTAGTAAATGAGGTTTGAGTATCTATAATATCAGACAGTTGCCAAAACATTTCCAGTGGGTATCATCATCAAGGTTATTTGCATATATGTGAAAATGGCCCATCTGTTGTGAGCTTTGTAAAAGCAATTTAGTTTCTTTCTGTTGTGAGCTTTGCATGCTTAGCTTATGTAAATATATAACTACTACTGTATCATATAAGTGGTTATTTTAAACACACATTTAATGAATGGTTTGCTAACATCCTGAAAAAGCTTAATTTGTAAGATATTCTTTTCTGTCATCTTCAATTATCTAGTACAGATTATGTTATAATTTGCCTTTGAACTAATTGCTTTTGGTGATGTTCCAAAATTCAAGTATCAAACATTTAGTTAGCCCTCTAGCACATTAGTATTTATTTCTTCTAACATATACTACAAAAATGGTTTGCTAGACCATTTTCCTAAACAAACAAATACAGACAAAACCGATGAAGGACACATAGCCTGTTCCTCTTAGCAAGGAAAAGATAAGACCCAGCCAGATATACTAAGTAGGCATTTGTTTGTGTGAACCATATAAGTGATGAAAAGCACAAGTCAAACAATTGTCACTCTACATAGAATTGAAGCATACCTTGAGACACAGACTCTATAGTGTTTATCTGGTTCTGATGTACATTTGCAGGCTGAGCTGCTGCTGCGGACATTTCAGACAGTCCATGGACTGCAGAAGGTGCAGGATTCAGACTCTGCAAGACACCTGTAAAAATAAAATCAGCACAGTAAAAGCTACAGACTAAATACAAAAGCAGGCATGCATATATAGAGTGATGAGGGCGGTACCAGGAGAATAATCGCGTGCATTGAAGTAGTAGATTCGCTCATAGTGTTGAAGCAATGAATAGTAGTATTTTCGAAGCACAAAAGAAGCATTTGTGGCTGTGGAAGGGAAATTGAAAGTGGCTGTAACATCTTTCCATCTTTTTTCTGAGAGTATCTGCAGACATGAACAAAATACAGATGGAGCATGAATTGGAAGAAGCTAGCAGGAAGTTAGATAAGAGGGGGAAGTATGACAGTGAAGGTAAAGTAGTAAACCTTTTCAATACCACCACGAGAAGTAACCTCGACAAAAAGCTTGTGAAGATCAAGATCACGGCCGCCAATGACGGGAATCCTGTAATAAGGTAAGCTAATGGGTATAAGGCTGAAAGCAATGCAATAATAAGAGGAGTACAGTAGAAGATGATGATGGTGGTGGTGGGATTACATGAATTTAGTGGCCATAGCTGCGTGAAGGCTCTCGAGAGTGGTCATAAAAAGTTGACGATTGGAAACAACATCCTCATACTTGGCAAGAGGGGCTGGATACTGGTTTCCTCCTTGATCAACCATTCTTCCTCAGACCAACTATCTATCTATATACAATATACTGCGCACAATCATTTATTACTATTTCTATCTGCCTTTTTTAGTAACATTCACAATAATATATATTCCATTTTTCATAACAATATATAATACCATTCACTTTGCTCTCCAATAAATCAATTTTTATTTAAGCTCCAAATTAATCAATACAAACCGTCAAAGCATACAAATGTATAGCTAGATAAACAAAAAACAATGGATTTAAACGAATAATAATTATTATCACTCCGTAACAGATTTTGCTATCATTTATTAAACAAATGCATTGAATGATGCCAACAGTAGCATGCCCAGATGAACGAAAACCAGAAATAGCAATCACATTAAAATAATAAAATTAAGAATAATGAGTACGACTAATTAATACTTACCCAACCAACTGTAGTCAGTAGAACAACAGGACATACATAAACCAAACCAATTCCCAATTCAAATGACAACTTTTTTTTTTTTTTTTTTCACATACTACGTATATGTTTACTCGTATTTATTAGCATGAACCCTAAATTTATAGAATCTAATCTATGTATATCTTCACTTGTATGTTTATGAATTGGTAAATATCAAAATATAAATTTAAAATATACACTTTCCGTCAAAAGAAAATATATATATATATATATATATACACTGAAATTAAAATGACTCTGTTTGCTCAAGGGCACCCGTGTAATTTGCTATACATTCTGTTTGAATTAATCAACGCTTCATAATAACCCAAATACTCGTACTATTAGATTGGTTTGTTAAGATTAGAATATGCTAGATTCATTCATGTACCCATTACCACACGTTCATTTTTATAAATATTTATTATTTATGTTATGCATGAGATATTTCTTTTTTTTTTTTTATAGGAGCATGAGATATTTCTAAATTTGTTTCATTTTTTTTTTTCAGTTATTGAATTAATTATGGATCGGATGATTATAACATACTTTCGTTTTCATTTTTGACAAAAAAAAAAAAACACATTTTGATATCATCTCTCAAACCCAGTAGTAACAATTGTTTTTTCTTTCACATATCTCTAACTAACTCTACCATGTTATTGTATAATTTTTCAATACCCCAACTACCTCACTTTACTTCTTATAAAGTACTAGTATTATTCAAAGTATTATGTCAAAGTATAACACTATAAAAAAACAGAGAAAATATAATAAGATTTAGAATAATAATTTAAACTTTCTTATGAGTATAAGCTCAATATACAAGTATAAGGATAAAATCACTATTAGTGTAATTAGTTTTATGACTTTTATCCAATTCACCAAAAGTATTACAATTTTAACATTTATTAAACAATATTTGAAGATAGACTTAGACAAGTTTTAAAACAACGTGCCCAAAAGAATTGGGAAATCTTATAGGACAAAGGAAGTATTGATAAACAAGCTACAAATCAGGACGTTTTCCCAAAGTAAGCTTAAGTAGCAAAATATATACGTAAATGGTTGCGTGGCAAAAGTATTTACCAAACTAAGTTTTCAGGGTAAAACGCTGTCTCAGACAGCGTTTTATGCCCTAGTTTTTTTTATAAAAAATTCAACTTAAAAATGCTGTCTCAGACAGCGTTTTACAAAAAATTACACTAAAACGCTGCCTGAGGCAGCGGTTTTGGTGTATAATTTTTTATTTTTTTTTTTTAATTTCTAGTTTAAAAATAAAAAAAGAAAAAAAAATATTAAAGTTGTTGTGTTCTTGAGCTACCCCATTTTCCTAGCTTAATTAACCTTTTTTCTTCTTTGTTCTACACGTAATGTTCATGCACTATAGATTAGTGTCTCCTTCTAGGATTTTTTATATTTGGTTTTTACCAATTATTTGACCCTCTTCCTGTTTTCACTCCTTTAATCAAAGTTTCTACTGTTCTTTTCTCCTTCACTTTCACTATACTCCTACCTTTAACCTTTTATGTCCTCTGTTGTGGCTTTACTTGAGCAACACACCTTCGTTTTGGATGGTATGTAGAATTTGCTCATGAATTGATTTTGTTAAACACAAAACAATGACAGCAATCAAAGCATATGTATTTTCAGTATATTGCAATCATGTGAATATGGACTTAAATACAAAGAGGAGAAGAAGATAGGAAGCAACAATCATATCCCAACCCCAACCGCAATACTCGAATACGATATGATAATTATCACATATTGATAATTATCCACCCAAATAATACAATCATTATCACATATTGATAATTATCCACCCCAAAGAATACAATCATTATCATAATAACGCAATGGTGTATAATATTTTTTTTTCTTTTTTTCTTTTTAAACTACAAATTAAAAATAAATAAAAAATTAAAAAAAAAAAAATTATATACTAAAACCGCTGCCTCAGGCAGCGTTTTAGTATAATTTTTTTTTTTTTAAATATCAAAAATTACGAAATTTAAAAAACAAAAGTCAACATGTAAAACGTTGTCTGAGACAGCGTTTTTAAGTTGAATTTTTTATAAAAAAAAAAACCAGGGCATAAAACGCTGTACGAGACAGCGTTTTACCCTGGAAGCTTAGTTTGGTAAATACTTTTGCCACGCAACCATTTACGTATATATTTTACTACTTAAACTTACTTTGGGAAAACGTCCTGCAAATCACTTATCAGTTATCATCTAAATTACGTGGCATGAGTAAAATCAATTTGGAATGAAAGGGGTAAAATTTTACAAGAAGAAACCTTGTAATAGGACCCTCTTTCAATTTGATTGTTACGGAGTATAAGATAAGATAAAGATCTTTCCTCTCAATACTTTTTAATTAAAAACCATTCTTAATAAATGCATCATATAGATTTGACATTAAAATTACTATGGTTATGTTTGGTAGTAAGCTTATTGGGGGTATATTAGCTTATTTGACTAAGGGTTTGTTCATATTTACTTATTTTCAGTTCAGATCACTTCAGTTATATTCAGCTCCAATCAGTTCAACTCTAATCAGTTCAGTTTTATGCATTTTAATTTTTCAGTTCATTTCAATTCAGCTCAGTTCAATAAATATGAACAGGCCCCAACTTTAGCTGATTGACTAGTCAAACAAGCTAATACAAGTGTTTGGTAGTAAGCTTATTGAAAGAGCTTATTCTACTAAATAAGCTCTTTTTTAAAAAGCTCATTTTAGGAGCTTTTTCAATTAGCTTATTCATTAATTATTGTGAAATGACACTTATAACCTCATTTAATTTAAAATCCTATCTAAACTACCTACCCAAAATTAGCTTATTGGTCATTTTATATACTCAATCACCTTTAAGCTATCAGCTATTTACCAAACACTTTTATATAATCAGTTAATACAATAAGTTAGTCAAATCAGTTTATAAAATCAGCTAGTCAAAATCAGCTAACTCAATCAGGTTCAGCTTTCAGCTTTCTCCCAAACAGGGTCTATAACTACTTTATTTTAACATGTCCTACCTATTTCAGCGACTTAGCTCCTAATACATCCACAGCTGGCTTATGGTAAGTCAGCAAGTTACCCAATAAGAGTTTTATTTTCATAATTGTCACAAACATGTTCAAATTTTTAATCAATAACGTAATTAATTATTCATTTGTATATATAAAAAAAAAAAAAATATGCTGAAAGTGGATGATTTGAAATTATTCACTGAATAAAACATTTTACTACATGAAAACCTTTTATATACAAGTAAATAAATAAATATGATAAAAGTATATGAATACTGAATAATGAAACTTAAAACCTATTGCAAATGTGCAATATATGGAGTCATATAAACACTCTGGCACTCTGCTTAATAACCAAGTGGGAGAGCCAGCATCGAGTTGCTTGTATCATTTGCAGGAAAATTTCAGACACCAAAGAGTGGGTATCCTAAAAATTCAGGGCTTAAATGTCTGAAAACAGCCCATACTTCTTCCATTACCAAAGAAGCAAAAGGAAGTTTTGGAAGAAAACCCAGATATTTGGGGATTTCTACTAAAAACATATATACACACAAGTGGAATACTATACACGTACAGATTTGCGTGTCAAGTAAATTATACTAAATACATTTAAAAGTGGGAAACTTGCAAACCCTCAGTGTTTTATTCGGAGTTATTCATGGCCCTGGACATGGGAATGACAAGATTAATCTAGATTCTTTCTCACAAGTGTTCAGTGAAACCCTAGGGCTAGTCAAGTGCTTTCCTGCTTCTTGAAACCATTTCATGTCATACAGAGTTCATAACAGCAGAAGCAAATTTTCACACCTGAAGCCTGATGCACATTTGTAAGTATTTGGACAACAGCTAGCTCCACACAGGGAAAATCTGTAGTCTGTGTGACTGTGTCCCCTAACTTGATTGACTCTGACCAACTCCAACAGAAACACCCCGAGAGCGCCTTTTCTTAGACGTGACCTGTAAACAGTCAACACATGAGTAGTCGATATGACAATTTTCTGCAGTAATAAAGAAAGATCAGCTCACAAAAGAACCATCAGCCACAATTAGCCAAAGAAGTAAGCCATGGACAAATTGTCATCACAATACTCCAGCTCTTGAGAGGAAAACAAATGGCAAATATAGTTGCAAGGAAATCCACTTTAAGACTCTACAGGTTGTGCAGCATGAGCTACATGAAGGGAAATTTCAAAACTGTGATAGCCAAAAATACAAACTATCTTAAAAAATTTAACAGCAACACATAATTATAAAAAGATTTCTGATGAAAATTCAAAAAATCCTCAACAAGGGATGCGTGAATTGTGACCATGCACATCAAATGGAACTTTTAAGGATCCAATCAAAGTTTTAATCAAAATTGGTTTTGGTATAAGTTCCAAAATTCAAACAAACAAATTTTTGGGTTGAAAGGAAGTTTATGGAACAAGATTATAACACGCGTTGGATATTTTTTGGACCCAGTCTAAGGCTCTAAGCCAGTGGTGGATCTAGGATTTGGGGAATGGGGGTACGAAATTAAGTTTGATGATAAAAAAATAACAAAATAAATGTGGAGTGCATGTGTTAATTTTTTCCTAACTAATATTTGGGGTAATAAACCATTTCAATTTGCAAGGCATATAATTAAGTACTAAATGTGTTCGTGGGTAGAAAAAAAAAAAAAAAACTCCCTTCGTCCTTTTATTACATGCCTATTTCTCATTTTGCACGGAGATTAAGAAAGTTAAAGATTCCTTAAAACTAATAATTGGGATTATAAATATCCATGTGGAGTTATATATATATATATATATAGAGAGAGAGAGAGAGAAAGATAAAGTGGTTGGAAATTAGGAGAGATAAAGTATTGGAAATTAATGTTGAAGTACAAAAAAAAAAAAAAAAAAAGAGAGTAATATTTTTAAAAAGTACAACCTATAAATGGAAACAGACACTTAATTTTGATGACCCAAAAAAGGAATACAGACGTGTAATAAAATGACAGAGGGAATACCTAAGAGACCAATTATTTGTGAAAAACTGCTCTCTTTGATTGAAAAGTACTAACTTAGCGTAGAAAAATTAAAATATAACCTAACACACCAGTGGCGATCCCTTTCGAATTCAGCACAAAAAGGCGGGTTGATTTGTTGCTTTAGCCACTTACATAACAATACCTAAGAGACCTAATATTAGAGACAAGCAGTCTCTTTTGTTATTTGATTGTACCTCTATACCCCCTAGATCCGCCACTAGCATGAGCCTTGAAATTTACCATGTGGCAAAGGTCTAAGTACGGCTTCCACGAAGCTCGAGACGTGGGCAAGCATAATAAAGAAAACAATTGCAATGCCTAATTAGTGGCATTAGAAACTTTGTAGGATGAAAATATTATAGCTTGATTGTTGTATAGATTTTCTAATTTATTTGAGGTAAGGAGTGTTCCGTGAATCAATAGCCTTGGGTCGGGAGCTAGGAGTCGGGAACTAAGAAGAAGTGGGGCAAGACGCCTGGGCACGTCCTTGCACAGAAATCGAGGATTTAAAGGTACTTGGCAAGGCACGTTCAACACACATCCAACCCATCACGTTCGTGCCTAAAGGAGGCACGTCATGCCTAGTAGTTTTTAATGGACGTGAGGCACGTCCTCGCCTAAAGGAGGCACGTGCCTTAGCAATTTTGGTCGATTTTGGTTACTACATCTGTGGGCTTTATTTTCCTTAAATAAAGTCTATCTATTCTAGTCTATGGGTTATTATTTTTAATAACTCTAGGTTATTTCCTAGCCACTATGATCATTAATTGATTGGTTATCTAGTCTTTTGTGTATTTCTCATCTAGTTTTGAGAAAGATGACATTAGAAATCCAAGAGAAAATCAATATGTTCTAGTCTTAAATATGTTCTAAATCTGTAATATGTTTTCCCCAAGATCAACAAAACTATTACTCTTGCCTACCCGTAGACGTTACAACACATTGTTGGTGAACCACATATATCTCTGTATGTTTTTCTTGTTAATTTTACATTATATGTTTTTCTTGTTAATTTTACATCTAATATTTTTTCTTTCTAGCATCTGTTATAACAAATTGGTATCAAGAGCTTTGGTTCGGGCCTAGGGTTTAATTCTGGTGAGATATATGGTTGCTTTGAATGTGAAAATCGACAAGTTCACGGGGAGGAATAGTTTTTAGACAGTGGCAAATCAAGATGCGGACATTGTGGACATCGTTGACAAAAAAAAGTCCGGATAGAGGAGAAAGCACACTCGACAATCACGTTGTTGTTTCCACTGAGGTCATGGAGGAGGAAACAACATCAGGTCTGTGGTTAAAGGTGGATAGACTATACATGACGAAGTCATTAATCAACAAGTGATCTCCGAAGGTACATCATGATCGATTGAATACTATTATGTTAAAATTGTGTAATAGTAATGTTATGGTTAGGATGGTGCCTTAATTTTGTTAGTATCTTTGTTAGTGTCATGAGAATTTTGTGATATTATCGGTAAAGAGACAATGTCTCATATCTGCTCTCCATATTTAAGAGTTGCGTCATAAAGCGTGTACTAAAGGTACAAATTTTGGATAGCCAATGGAGGTAATGGTCAAGGGATTGGGGAATTCGGGAATTCGAGGTAAAAATCCAAGAAAACCGTCTTCAAGGGGTCCAAAATCAAGTGATGTCTGTAATTACTATAAGGAGAAAAGACATTGGAAATCTGAATAAAATTATGAGTCCGCAGATATTGCAGTTGGTGACACCAATTCAACAGATGACTATACCCTAATTATTGAACATGTGCATCACCCTGATGTGTGGGTTCTTGATTCAAAGGCGCTTATCACAAGTGTTCACGCAAGGAGTGGTTACGAACTACAAGCATGTTAATGGTTGTGTTACTATGGCAAACAACGAAGAACAAAACAATTGGTATTGGGTCCATCAGAGAGGATGGTAAATTTGTATGTCATAACAATGTCGGGCATGTTCCACTGAGGCACAGATCATAAGGAATCTTATTTTGTCAAGTTTTCTAACGTAAAAGGGATTAATTTTAAAGGTGGAGGTGGAGGGGTGTATGTCTACAAGGGTTCAAAAGTAGTAATGAAGGGTGTTAAACGGGAGACATAGTGTAAGTCTATGTTACTCGGACTCTTCATTTTACCTCAAGTACCAGTGTCGGACCCTCGACACTCGGACATGGGTATGGCACTTGGACACTTCATTTTAGTTCAAAATCATAGAATTTTTTCACAAAATAGCCAAGTCGGATACTTGGACACATACCCGTGTCGGACATGGGTACCCGAGTCCGAGTAACATAGGTGTTAGTTGCAAGGGTGCAATGAGCAGGCATATTGTGGGCAAGTGGAATAGCGGAACGATAACAACACCAGAGCACCACAACAACCACCAACATAACACTACTAAAGCTGCAGCAGCTAGCTTGTCTTATTAGCTTGCTCTTGGTACTTTTGCGTATGAACACAAAGTAGTAGTAAATGTAGTAATTAAAGCTTACGCCACATAGACTCGTATTGTAGTAGTTTAAATAGAAGAAAGTTAAGAAGGAGAACTCATTTAGAAGTATTGTATTGGAACCTTGGAAATCTAATGTCCAAAAGTCATTACTTGTTACTCAAGCCTTTGTCTAACTATCTTAATCAATTGTCTTCGACTGTTTGGCTAAGATTATCGTGTTTTTCGTGTGAGCACCACTAGTACTTTACAAAGGGTCTACGTTATCTAGTTCTAAGTCTGCTGTTGTCACATCATTTATTTGTGGTAGTGTTAGAGAAAGATCAGCCTACACTCACGGTCTGAAAGCACCGCACCAAAGACACGGTTGGGAAAACAAGGTGGCTTTTGCACTATTTGTTGGAGAGGTGGATATATCTAAATTGTCAAAGAGAGGTGTGCTCGTGCTAGGAAGAAGCATTGGCAATGTGTGTGTTTGAACCTAGTTCCGCAAAGTAAGTCCCAAGCGCGCTTGGACTTACAATTTATTTGAAGTTGTTTATTGTTCTTTGGGGCAAATCTGGTGCTTGATGGGGCAAATCTGGTGCCAAGCGGATGCAAATCAAAGCAAGAAGAGTGTTTCGAAAAAGTTTCTGTTGTTATCTGGTACATCAATTTAATTTTATTGTGAACGGATCCAAGTCAAGGTGAAGATTTGTAAGGAATGTGCCTTAAATCAATAGCCTTGAGTCGGGAGCTACGAGTTGGGAACTAGGAAGAAGTGGGAAAGACACGTCCACACCTTGCCTCAACAAAGGAGTGCTGAAGATTGACTAGGCACATCCGTGCCCATACGAGTGTTTGTTCCTCTTCGAGGCTTCAAAGGTATTTGGCAAGGTACATCTGTGCCTCAACGGACTTCCGACCAAGCAAGTCCGTGCCCAAAAGAAGTTTTCGATTTTTGTTGATTTCCTCGACGTTTGGCTGATTTTGGTTACTTCGTTTATGGACTTTATTTTCCTTAAATAAAGTCTATCTTTTCAAGACTATGGGTTATTTTCCCTAGGTTATTTTCCCTAGGTTATTTCCTAGTCGCTAAAATCTAAGAGCCTTTTGTGTATTTCTCATACGTGAATTATAAGAGTGATAACATTAGAAATTTGTGAGACAATCATTACGTTATCTATGATTGGTCTCAAATCTGTTATGAATTTGTAATTTGTTTTCCCTAAGATCAATAAAGTTATTACTCTTGCTTGCCTGTGGACGTAGCCAACGCATTGTTGGTGAGCCACGTAAATTTATGTGTTTTTCTTGTTAATTAAACATTCGAATATACCCGTTCACGTATTTTTTGGTAAACCACATTCAATATAATTCTTAATAACATTCAATACTAGCTAAAACTTTTGATATGTTTAAAATCCTAGGATTATTTGATTTAGGGATTAGATAAACATCCTAGATTCCTAGTTATAATTGGTTAATTGAACTTTAACTATATGAAGG